AGTCACCACAACGGTGTCCTCCGCATCGGCTTCTCCCGCAGGGGGCAGGTGACGCACTGTGATGATGAAGACCCCATGGGGTGGCGTCCCAGGGCTGCTGCCACTGCTGCTCCTGGGTCTGCTCAATGTCTTCCAGGCCCAGAGCAGCTGCCCCGGAGACCCGGCCATCCCTGGCATCCCGGGCATCCCTGGGGCACCCGGCTCTGATGGTCAACCTGGGACCCCAGGGACAAAGGGAGAGAAAGGTACTATGGGCTCTGAGGACACACGAGTACCACCAACCCGGTCCCCGCCATCTGTCCCCCAGTCACAGTTGCCTGCCTTTGAGATTGCAAAAGCGCCAAGCCATCCGCTTGCTGAGTGCTTGCAGTCACTTTGCCAGGAGAGAATTCTGATTCCCATTTTACAGACAGGAAAACGGATGTCCAGAAAGGCTACTGACTTACCCAAGGTAGCCCAGTAAGTGTTAAGGCTGAGACCAGACCATGGATCTCTCACCATTAAACCCCAGGGCTGGGGAGCACAGCTGTGGTCACACAGCCCTGGGTGTGAATTGACCTCTGGAGTGAGTGGCCCCCCACTCCATTACCCCGATGGGAGGCTGAGGCTGGGAAAGACCAGTGCTCTTCCTCTGCCATGTCCTCACCTGTAAAATGGGGACAACACTCTTGTAGCGCTGTCGTAGGGTTCAAATGAGACCTCCCGCCATGAAAAGCCCCTGTGCGATGCAGTTGATGCGTTCACTTAACCCACAGGCACGGGCAACACTCCATGCCAGCCACCCCTCCTGTAGAATCTCACGTAACCCGTGCAGTCCCACAAAATGTCACCTCCCCATCCGACAGATGAGGACGCCGAGCCTCAGAGAACACGGCCCAGCCACGGTGACACACCTAGCAATAGCAGATGTGGTGTGAGAAGTCCGTCCATCTGTCCCCAGGGCCCATGTTCCCAGGCACTGTCTCTGCCTGTCGACTGGAAAAGGGGTTTTATCTCATACTGGGCCCAACCAAGGGGCAGTGGCTGCTTGGGCTGGTGGAGGCAGAGGAATTCTAAAATCCTCTTCCAGGGACAGCAAGAAAGGAAGCCATGATCAATTAAGGATGTCTGCCGTGGGAAGGGGAGGGGAGAGAGGCACAGACACAGCACTCACCACCCCTGCTCTGGCCTGAACAAGGTGACCAGCAGGTGGGGTGGAGGGCAGGCCCAGCCCCTTCCTCAGTATTGGCATCCCCATCACCGCCAAGCACACCAGACTCAGAAGGCTGGGCTGGGGGAGACGCCGAGCCCCTCTCTGATGCCCCCACTCCATTACACTGATGGGAGGCTGAGGCTGGGAAGGGCCAGGGCCCCGCCCAAGGTCCCGGCCAGGGCTCCTCCTCTCGCCTCAGTGACCCTTCCCCCACCTCCTGCTTCTCTTGTCTCCGCCCCTCCAGGCCTCCCAGGGCTAGCTGGAGACCATGGTGAGTTCGGAGAGAAGGGGGACCCAGGGATTCCCGGGAATCCAGGAAAAGTCGGCCCCAAGGGTCCTGTTGGCCCGAAAGGTACCCCAGGCCCTCCTGGACCCCCCGGCCCAAAGGGGGAATCGGGAGACTACAAGGCCACCCAGAAAATCGCCTTCTCGGCCCTGAGAACCACGAACAGTATCTTGCGACGGGACCAGACCATCCGCTTCGAGACCGTGGTCACCAACACCAACAACAACTACGAGCCCCGCAGCGGCAAGTTCACCTGCAGGGTGCCCGGCCTCTATTACTTCACCTACCACGCCAGTTCCCGTGGCAACCTGTGCGTCAACCTGGTCCGGGGCCGCGAGCGCATGCAGAAGGTGGTCACCTTCTGCGACTATGCCTACAACACCTTCCAGGTGACCACGGGTGGCGTAGTCCTCAAGCTGGAGCAGGGGGAAAGCGTCTTCCTGCAGGCCACCGACAAGAACTCCCTGCTGGGCATCGAGGGCGCCAACAGCATCTTCTCTGGGTTCCTGCTCTTCCCAGATGTGGAGGCGTGACCCAGGGGGCTGTGCTCGCCCAGCCAGCCTGGCCTCCAGGAACTCCCTGCCTGGCCAGAGTGCTCTGGGAACGCTGCTGAATGAGTCAATAAACTCTTCTAGGCTGAGGGACACGGTCTCTTGCAACTCTGTGTCCAGCACCTGGGACCTAGTAAGTGCTCAGACATATTGGTTGAATGAATGAATGAACAATGAATGAATGAATGACCTCCGAAGGCAGAAATTCCTTTCAGTTGGATGAGACTGGAAGGCCACCTCTGATGTCCTTCTGTGCCAGCCACACAGTGGGGGGGGGGGGCACACACTACACCGGCAGCACCAGGCTAGACCCACTCCTTATTCTTCCACGAATCCCTACGCCCCTCCGAGGACGTAGGTTGCACTGTGCCCAGTTGACAGAGGAGGAAACACAGGGATGCAGGGATTGTCCACAATCTCACGGCAGAGTCGGGGCTCAGGGGCACGTCTGCCCACCCATGACCCGAGACGCCTTTCAAGGCAGCTTGTCTAGCCCAGCCCCTAAAGGGGCTTTGTGCTTGTACCTTCACGCGACCCTGACCAAGGGGTCCTCCCCAAGACCTCGGCTGACTTGGTGCAGGAACCTCTCACCCCTTTCGGTTCTTCCCCCCCATCCTCCCTCCCAGCCTGGCACAGGCGCCTCAGAATCAGTGTCACTCCCCAGCTCAAAGTCCTTCCATGGCTCCCCACTGCCCGTGGGATATGGCCCCAGCCTGTGAGCCTGGCATTCCCGCCTCGCTCCATGGGCCCTCCTGCCTTTTAAACAAGCCCGGGCTTTCCCACCTCGGTGCCCTTCCTCTCGTGGTCCCCCCACCCGGGAGCCGTCCACTCTGCCTGTCCACCCATCCTTGCCAATCTCACTCAAGCCACACCTCCTCCCCGAAGCCCAGCCAGTCCTGCCCCCACACGCTCACTCCCCTGGCCTCCTCCAACCCCGTTTCATCAGGTCTGAGCCGCACAGCCTGCGTCCGGCCTCGCACTCTCGCCCGCCCGGTCCCCTCAGTGTGCCTGTGGTTTCTCAACCTCTGCGGAGCCCAGGACGCAGCCACTCAGGAGAGCCTCGTTGCCTGATTGGTTGAGAGCCGGGGCTAGGATTCTGGAGTCCCGCCCAGCCCTGCACCTGTTCCCTCCGCCCCTCCTACTAGCCCCACCCCTCAAAGCCCTCAACCAATCCTAACCCGAGGTAGGCGGGACTTAAGCTACTCCGGCCCTGTCTCATAGGCCCACGGCACCAGTTCGGCCGCCTGTGTGGCTGGCTCGTCTCTCAGGCTCCATTCATTGGATACAGCTTCCGCCCCACCTCCCGGCACCAGCTGGGCCTGGGGGACTTGCCCCGAACTCAGACTCCCCAACGGGGAGACCTGGAATCTTTTCTCCAGGAGCCAGATCTTCCTTCCGCTGCTCAACCCTTCTGATACAAACTGTCTGCCTGGCCTTTGAGTCTAGTACTAACAGCTACAATTGCGTTATTGTGCATAGAGTGTTCAATGCACATTATCTATGTAATCCCCAGCACAACCCCTAGGAGGTACATAGTATTATCCTCATTTTACAGAGAAGAAATCTGTACGATTAGGGCAGTGGCTCTTCACATATGGTCTCTAAAGCTGCAGCAACAGCCTCCCATGGGAACTGTCAGGAAATGTACGTCCCAGCAAGCCCTCCCGGGGTTCTGATGCTTGCTAGAGTCTGAGAACCACCAGGTGAGGGTCTCTACTCCGTATGCCTGTCGTGACTGTCGAAGGAGAAACCGCTGTTTAGCTCCCTCACCTACTGCCACCGTTGTCATGGGCCTATGCCTTCTTGGCCTCAGCTGCTTGGCCAAGGGTGTCCCTGTTCCCAGCTGGGCCCATCAGATTCCCTCTCCTGGGACTTGGGAATAAGAGACAGCGAGGGCAAGCAACTTGCCAGGAGGCACACAGCTGACAGGTACACAGCTGGACTTAGAGCTTGCTTCTGTTTGCTTCCAAGTTTGTGCTAAACCTGTGGCCATGCCACCTCCTTGCCCCCTGCACCTGTCAAAATCCCTTCTGCAGCCCCCTCTGCAGTCCCATGGCCTGTCACCTGAGCCCGTTGGACCTCAAAAGTTCACGATCTCCAGCCTATGCAGTTGAGTCCATCGAGGTCAGGCTACACCCACCCAGGGGCAGGTCTGGCTGTGTGTCAGGCATGCTCAGAGCACCCCATCCTGCTGCATGGACCCAGGCAGGGCCGGCCTTGGCCAGAGAGTCACGCTACTGCTGGCTTGTCTCAGGAGCTGCCACTGGCCACCTGGCTCTCTGCAGGACCAGCCCCTCTGGCCCTTGACCCAGAAGCCCTGACTCTGCCTCCTGCCCTCCGCCAGGCCCCCCACCAGGATACACCTAACAGTGCCCTTGGCGTGCCCTCCCACGAGCTCCGGAGTGCCAGGAATCCAGGGTTCTGACCATGTAGCCAGCCAGGCCCGCTGCAGCCCAGCATCCTTACTCTACACCAGCATTCCCAGCTTTAAACTCTTCACTGTTATGACTGCTCTTTTCTAGTCAGAGGCGAGGGCTCAGCCCCCCTCCAGCTCTCCAGGGAGCTAGTTGAGGCTTCATCATGAGAACCAGGACCAAGAACAGTGAGGGAGCCCAGAGGTGGGCTCACCTGTCCCATACAGCCCAGTCACCTTCCTCTTCCCCTTTGCCTCCTCTCAGCAGGAATGGGGTAGAGACAGGACCTGAATCTTCTGACTGGGCTCACAGTTGGCAGAGAAAGGAAGGGAAGTGTTTTCCCTCAGACTTGTGACCTTGACGCTCAGGAACCACCTTGACCCTGACTCCAACCCTCAACATGCCAGGGCCCTTTTAGTTGCAAGTGGCAGAAGCCCCTCAAAAGGACAAAAGAAGGGACTTATCAGAGGAACCCAGGAACAGGGGGATAATTCAGTCCCAAAGGACCTAGGAACCAGACCCGGATGCTCCCTAGACCAGGCTTCAGTATCCCTCTGATCTCTCTTCTCGATGCCTCTCTCTGCAGCAAGACCCTCAACCGTGAAGGCAAGTGGGTACCCCAGACGATGCTGTGACCCCTTGTCAACCCCATCCCCCCATGGAAGTGACAGAGTCTAGCGTCTCTCATTCCCAAGTCCCAGGAGAGGGAATCTGATGGGCCCAGCTGGAAATAGGGACACTCTTGGCCAAGCAGCGTAGGCCCATGACAACGGGAGCAGCAGGTGAGGAAGCTAGACACTTGTAACTCCTTCGACAGTCACGACACGCCTACAGAGTAGAGACCCTCACCTGGTGGTTCTCAGAACCCCGGGAGGTCTTGCTGGGATAAGCATTTCCTGACACTTCCCATGGGAGGTTATTGCTGCAGCTTTAGAGATCATATGTGAAGAGCCACTGCCCTAATCATACTGCTCTCATCCTATACACGAGAATATTGAGGCTTGGGGAGGGATGCCACCTGCCTCAGTTAACAGAGGACCTGGGGTCCAGGTCTAGTTAACCCATGTGCTGAAGGTCTGTGCACCGTTGTCCAGACTACAGGGCCCAGCCCCACGGGAGGCGGCAGTTCTCAGAACACACGGGCAGGGCCCGTACCCTGCCCTGGCCTCCTGTCTCACCCTTGTAAAAATAAACAGTGCAGCCAGGCACAGTGACTCGCGTCTGTAACCCCAGCATTTTGGGAGGCTGAGGCAAGAGGATTGCTTGAGCCCAGGAGTTTGAGACTAGCCTGGGTGACATAGCAAACCGCATCTCTACAGAAAATCCCAAAATTAGCCAGGCATGGTGGTGCACACCTGCAGTCCCAGCTGCTTGGGAGGCTGAGGTGGGAGGATCTCCTGAGGCCAAGGCCGTGATGGGCCATGATCAGTCCACTGCACTTCTGCCTGGGTAACAGAGCGAGACTCTGACTCAAAATAAAAGGAAATAAAACTAATAACAATGTGGCAGTGTTGTTGATGGTCCAGATCCTTGATTCTTTTATTGGGTTAAATTACCGGAAGTAGACTCCCTGGGGAGGGAGGTGCACCCCTGGAAGACTTTGAAACGTGTTTTCAAACGGAGGGCGGGGCGGTCAACGCTGACTGTGCCAAGGCTGCTCCAGGTTCGCTGCCACCAGAGGGGAGCAGACGCCAGGAGAAGGCTGGCCTGGAGGAGGGACGGGGTCACGTGGGACCCCGGGAGCTCCTCCCTCCTCCCTTCCTTCACCCCCAGCCAAACCCACTGTCTGGGTGGGCTCTGAATTCTGGGTGGGTCTGAGGATCAGCTCGAAGACCTAGGTTCCCCTGAACCAGTGTCCTCCGAGGACACTAACCCAGCCTCAGTGTCCGGAACTTGTCAGAAATGCAAATTCCCTGGCCCCATCCCAGACCGGCTGACTCAGAAAATCTGGGGAAGGGGGCCCAGCAATCTGTTTTCACCAGCTCTCCAGGTGATTTTGATGCAGCTAAAGTTTGAGAATCACTGTTCCAGCCCTGGTGTTGCCAAACTTTTTCTGCAAAGAACCAGGAAGTATTTTAGGCCTTGAGGGTCACACGGCGCAGTTGAAACAACTCAACCCGCTTCTTATAGCACAAAAACAGCCGTAAGCAACATATAAATAAATGAGCGTGGCTGGGTTCCAATAAATCTTTATGGACACTAAAACTTAAATTTTGCATAATTTTCACGTGTCACAAAATATTTTTCTTTTGATTTTTTCAGCCACTTAAAAATGTCAAAACCATTCTTAGCCAGCAGGCTGCACTCGACAGGCTGTGGGCTAGATTTAGACCCAGATACGGTTCCAACCTTGAAGGAGAAGAGCAGGAAGTTGAGCCCAGAACTGCCTGACTCCCCAGCCAGTGCTCCTTCCGCTAAGTGAGTCTGCCCGATTCCAGCCTTGGGACATGGACAGAGAAGCTGCCTGGGCCTTGGTGCCCTCGACTGTCAAATGGGCACTGCAGCCCCTGCCCTTTGTGATCCGAGACGCTGGATCTTCTGTTTTAGTGGGGAATGAAATCCCCCTGGAAACTCGCCGATGTCCAGGCCCCGTCTCAGAGGCCCTGATTCCCTATGAGCAGACAGAGCTGTAGGGGCCCGGGAATCTGCATTCCACCACAGATGCACCTCCACTCCAGC